TGTAACTTATGAACTAACTTACAAAATGAACCATCTTTAATAAAAAGGCTCTCAAGAGATAAAATTCAGAGCGGCAGACTGACCTTCCGTTCCCATCTTGACATCTGATATGCTCAGGGCGGCCCCGCCCTCCCCGTGACTATCCACGAAGCCTTGGTTGACTTTGTGCTTGTAGGGGTCCAAGGCACCGAGTAAGCCAAGCACTCGGATTGTCTGAAGCCGGAAAACAAATATTGACAATAAAATTGCCAGATAAACAACGACAAGACATGGTAAAATTATCCACATTATATTGGGTTTTGTCCTTCGCCGACGTGTGGCAATAAAAACACTACATACTCAGGTGTTGGCCTGAGGCACTGCAAAGGAATTCACAAGGTTATTCAGATGGGACTCGAGCCCACAACTTCAGTCTCGCTAGTGCGGGCATCTCATTATAGGACCATTGAGGATATTGGAGAGGGTTTGCCAGTTCAAGTCAGATAAGCACCAAGTAACATGAAACAAACATTTGTACATTGTTCACTGTTGCACGAATTATTTAAACAGTCAAAATCGGTTTGCGGTGCACTGTCCATTAAGGACGGCTATGCATTGCGCCCACTGAAAAACTGACATCAGTGGTGAAGGTGTAAACGACTTGCCTCTCTCCGGATGTTGGCAGACTGCTCCGTCTTCAGGAAGTTGAGCAGCACGTCCAGCAGGTTAGAGTACTTCTTGTAAGGGTCCACCACCGAACCGGTGCTCTCCACCAGCTGGCCCAAGGTCCACAGGGCAACCTGAGGGGGGTGCAGGCGTTACAATAGAAGTCTAGTGATCAATCTCTGGCCCTGTCAGAGGGTTTATTCAAAGGCTCAGAACAGTTCTTGACAAAATTCCTCCATTCCCTTGTGTCAGTGAAGGCTCCAGTATGATGGAGAACCATGGATCGAGTAATGAGAGATGAAACTGAAAATTTTTGCCTTAGCTGAAATTCTGCTGGAACTGTTTTGAGATTATTTTTTAAAGATATTATTGCAATCTAAGCGAGACCTGTAGATTGCACCATGAGACCTACCAGCACAAGCCAATGTGGACAAGATGCAATGCATTCGCGCACTGATTAGCGTGCTTGTGGCAGCAAGAATGCAAAACCATTTTTCATCAGAATGAGCACAAAAACGTGGCATCTTTGTGTGGGTACCGGGCACACAGTTACAATGGCATCCAATCATCTGCAATATCTCTCACTGTCACCAGTGAAGGGGATGCTTGTGTACAGGCTTTTCACTGGATATCACACAGTTAATCCCTTCCCCCAAAATTGCAGGGAGCCACTGATATTGGATTTTCTCACCTCTCTCTTGCGAAGCGACGCCGAGTCCTGCAACATGTCCAGAATAATCGGGCAGAGTTCGTCCATCCATTTCCTCATCTCGGTGCCACTCACCTAGACAAAATACGCCACAAGACAAAGCACTTCAGACAGAAAATGGTTCAGTAAAGCCCCATCAAACGAAGGGCATAATTCAATTAGTAGTAGAGAACGCATTATTTGAAGAGAATTCAATTATCAAAGGATTCTTGGGATCCAAAGAAATTGGTAGGTCGGGGTAGGCATTAAGAGTGCTTAAAAAAAATAAACTAATAAATTTTGGAGTGATCACATTAAAATTGAGCACAATGCCACACAAATTCAATGAATTCAACAGCAGGCAATCCGTCGACATAATCCTCCAGACTAGAGCTCTGGTTACATTGGCAGCTGAGTGGGATTGGCCTCTGGGGCCTGCACAGAAGCAGGCAGATTCTGCATTGGTGACAACAGAGGGGCTCAGATTTCTGGCTTACTTGTGCCTGTTCTCCGATAGCAGCCAGAACGTTGATGACCACACTGGGGTTAGGGTCGGCCTCCTTTAACTTGGGGATCAAGGCCTGATGGAAAATGACGGAGGTAAGAAAAGGAGAATCAGGATAAACTGAGAATAAGTTGGAATTACAGAGTGGGATCGGAATCACATGCTCATACAAGTTTTCAGTATGGATATGAAATCCAAAATATTACAATTAATAATTGTTGCCTGCTGTAGTGTGGGATATGACATTTTGAAACCGGAGATGATGTTTTTTTACTTTTTTTAAAATTAAGAGTGACAAAGGAATCTTGGACATTAGCAGTTTGCCCATGCATTGCCCTGTACACTGCGGGGCGTTGGCATATGCGTAGGCTTGATATCCTACAATGCTAGCCGATGTCTTACAGCAAGTGTGACATGTGATTATGTCGCCCTGTCATGTGACTCTTTTTGGCCAATGAAAAACAGCATTCAAGAATGAGATATGACAATAGCTTTGAAGACGTTATTTTAACCTTGACTATAGGTTCT